TTAGAGAGTGATATACCGAGATCGAGATACGACGATGACGTGCGAGGCGTAAATGTCCGTTTGGATAATCTCGCGTGTCGGCGGCGCGCGAATCCCTTCGGGGATGATTGCCGGCTCGGCAATCAGAATTTCGCGTTCGCCAATTATCACTCAATTAATTTGCTTTAGCGCGGTTTATCCGCGTGCCGCCGCCCCGTAAGAACCGACGGGTCGCTTCACGGATGATCGCACGCCCTCGCAGAGTACCTAGGAATATATTCTTAATATGTGAAGAAGATATAAGAATTACACACGGTGTCTCGTTGTATTTGTTAGTAATAAGTAGTAAGAAGAGAAGAAGAGCGAGAGAGAGAGAGAGAGAGAGACAGAAAAAGAAAGAAAAATGGAAAAAAGAACGGTGTCATTCTCATGATCATTGAAACGACTTGTTCTTTCTTAAATGATGCTACACGTACCGGGTGCATTCTAAATTGCGTTAACGCGGCGTTAACTGCGTATCCGAATTTTTATCTCGACACGATGGAATTGGAATGATCGACTCCGTGACTTTGGCGATTCGGTGTGAACGACGAAAGGAAGATGACGTCGAGAATTTTCAAAGAGTCTTTGTATGTCTCAGATTAAAATTGAAATCTGAGGAATTCTCGATGCTTATTTCGAGCTGTCCTGTAAATTTTGGGACTTGGTGATGTGTTCTAATTCCATGCCGAAAACAATAACATTGATTTTCTAGTTCCAGCGTATCGATCTTTGTATGGAATTAAAAATCGATGTTCGCGCAATATAAGAAAACAGAGCGAGATCGTGAGGATAACGGTGGGAAAAATATCGTGGCGAGCGTTTTTAATGCGTGTCGCGAATAATCGACGGCGTTTTCTAACAAGAAACGATCGGTAGAGAATATTGTAAAGGATTTGGCATAGCGATGTATGCAAAGATAAAAAAGATGCTTTTGGACGCGTTACTTTTTATGTCGTTCAGCTCGCGGCTGTGATCATTTTAGAAACACCCATGTACGGACCCGAACCAGCAATCAACTTTGTGATAGTCTGTGTACCGAATCTGAACATCGTTAAATTAATCCCATCTCCTATAGGTAAGGTGTATAATTATTAGACTCTTATCACGTACACGCAAAGGACAAAACATATTTACTACGTCATAAAGTGATAACGAGATTGTGTTGTTCCCTGATTTGTATCATGTAGGCACGTTTAATAATAAATCGAAATATTATCTAAATTACCTTTGTTATTTCCTATTATATCAATTTTCTTTTTGGAAAACAATCGATTTAATTCACGAAAGAATTTGACATATAAAAAGATTTTATTTATTCTGTTATGAGAGATTGAAAATATTGCGCATATCCGAAATCTAAAAATGTCCTATCGTGAAATATTATTATTAGTGATCATATATCATACATATGTAATATTATTTTACATTTCGTGTAAATTATGTAATTCTTTAGATTTAAATTCAGACGCAAGGTGGGAAATTCGTTGGATGTGCTGGCATGTTCGCTAGCACGTACGATGCATGCGCGTCAATCTTGAAAAATCTTGGTTCCCTTCGTCCTCGTCGAAAATAGAAGCACGACTGTGCGACCTATAATTAAACATGGCCGTTATTTTAGCGGATGTTCAGTACGATAAAGTTAGCGGCTAGTGAACGATGTTCTCGCGTCTGACGTCTAAGTCTGACTTGATCTTCGCTAGAAAAACTGAATAAACTTAATAAAACATGATAGATATATCTCGTTAGCGCATCTGATGTTATCTCATTCTCGAATCAATGTACTGTAAGTATCAAGTTACGTAAAGCTTGACAAAAGATTTCGATAGTGCAAAGTACAATGCACCTTTGATTTGCTCATTCACAATCTGTTTTTTCCTCCCTTTAAATTAATTAAATTGATTCAGGTCGGAGTTTAAAAATTGAGAGGTCTGGATGACTAAAAGTTTAAGAGTTTCAGAATTAAATTCGGAAATGATCTCAAATTAAGTGATCATGGATGATGCTCCGAAGTACGGTGTATGTCCGGTATGCGGCAAAAACGCCACGTTGAAATGCGGCAGCTGTAGACGTGAGTTTTATTGCGACAAGTCGCACCAATCTCAAGACTGGCCACGCTACAAGTCCACGTGTTGCGGCTGGGAAGTAAATCGCGATTCCTCACTCGGACGACACTTGGTGGCGACCAGAGATCTAACATCCGGGGATGTGATCCTCTCGGAGACGCCTTTGGTCTGGGGACCATCGATCCACGTGGATCAGCGGGTCTGCGTCGGTTGTGGCGAACGGTGCGAAGACATCGACGCGAGATGCAAGGGGTGCTGTTGGCCGGTGTGCAAGTCCGATTGCGGAGGATTGTCTGATAAGAGACGACACCAACTGGAGTGTGCTCTCCTTGCACGCGCCAGGATTATTCCCAGGTATCGCATCCTCTTTCGTTTGACGTAGTTCATTTTTAAACCGTTTTCACTTCGAGGTCCCATTAGCGAGATACTTAATGAAGAAAGGAAAATATTCGCTTAGTTCTAATTTAAATCGCGCGCGATTTTATCGAAAAGTTAAAATTTAATTTTTAAATATATTTTTCAAGTTAGAGTACGCGTCATTAATTTTGCGTTACATCGTCAGATGCGAGGTGCTTCTGATTATTCGTATGCTGGTACTGTGGCGAACAAAATCACGACGCTGGACGACTTTGGCCAATCTGCAGAGTCACGAGGAATCGCGAGGACCAGGCACGGAGGCTCACGATGAAGTATTAAGTATAATTCAGCGTCTCGGGCCGCTTTTGTCGATGGCATCCGATTGCAAGGATATTTTACCGAAGATTTGTGGCCTAATCGATGTGAATGCTTTGGAGACCGCACCGCCGGATGGCTCAGTGGCGATTTACGAGAATGCGTCTCTTCTGGAGCATTCTTGTCTCGCTAATACGCGACACAGTTTCCGCGTCGATGACAAGGGTAGACCGCGTATTACGGTATATGCGGTCACGTCTGTTAAAAGGTACGTTCATAATTTCATTTACCTTTCTCACAAAAAATATTAGGTTTTTTTCGTCAAAAGATTTATAATTAATTTAAATATAATTATTAATTAATTTTAAATTAAATATAAATGAGTATTAATAAATATTCATATAAATATAAAATATATAATTAATATTTAATTATAAATTTTTTATTATTATCACTACCATTTTGCGACTGCGATATTTCCAGAGGGGAGCATCTGACCACCATGTATACGCACGCGCTTTGGTCTACCAGAGCCAGACGGGAACATCTCCTCGCTACGAAATACTTCGCCTGTCGATGCAAGCGTTGCGCGGATCCCACGGAATTAGGCACGCATTTAGGCACTTTTAATTGTCCCTGCAAAAATGGACTCATGTTGCCGAACGACCCCTTAAATCCGAGTACCGATTGGTCCTGTAATTTGTGCCCAGGAACAGTGACTTCCGCGGAAGTCGCACAATTGACAGATAGACTGGAGGAAGACGTCACGGAGGTCATGAAACAGGCGACCGAACGTAGTCTGTCCGATCTTCTTTCACGGTAAAAACCTTTTTATTTGATTCTTTCCGTGAAAATTTTTATTTACATTAATAAATCTAAATAACTGGATCAAAATTGTAAAATATTAGAAAATCATGATGCATATATATTTTTTTCTATGCTGTTACTCAACGAATCGTTTATACAGGCTTATGGTGCTGCTGCATCCCGGTCATCAGCATTGCATATCCGTGAGCCACTCGCTGATGCAGTTGCTGCCGGCGACCGATCCACGAAAGTTAGAATTATGTAAACGTGTTATGGATACAGTGAGTCGATTGGATCCCTATGGTGCTCGTTTAGCACTTTATACAGCAGTTACCTTGCGAGAGCTCGCGACATGTCCCGGAGAAGATAGGCGAGCTCATCTCGTCAAAGCAGCCTCGTTGCTGAAGGCAGAACCGACGAATTCGCCCGGTGAAAAGCTTCGCAGACTCATCGAGGTGGAACTTCAATCCTAGTATCCTCGCATAGCTGTATTTTTATTATTATAAAATCCGGTATGTAAAACAAGGAAAAAATCCTTTTTATTACAAATGCACGAGAAAGTTGTGCACATTCGCGTAAGCAACAATTACTTGCTTATCTGTCTAAATTTTTGTTTATTCTCTTTCTCGATTTCAAGTGTAATTTCTATTCGCAACTACAGATAGATCATAAAAATGGCAAAAATAGTTACTTACTTATTTAGGGTAAAGGTGTACGTATAAAAAGAGCTTACAATTATATAAAAAAATGTATACATATATGTTATATAATTATCAAAATATACGCTTGTGGTCGCTCCGCATTTACTGCAGATATCGTGTATGTGTGTGTATATGAATACGAATTGTACATTGTCGTATATAAAATTTAGACTAGATGACTGTGCCTCTGCGACTGAACGTAATCTTTAAATTTTTAAGCAACTTCTCGTTGTGTCATTATTCTTATAATGATCAACGCTTAATATTCTCACGATTGAGTAAATACATTTAACGAAATAAAATAATTACAATGCAAAAATAAGGCGAAAGATACTTATCGAAGAAATATACTTTGAATAATCACTATTGAGGTTTGTATTTATCTGAGAGAAATTTTAAAAATTTTAGAAATATTTGCGAATTTATATAAAATACTGATAATGATAATAATTTTCTACTATATCTACTTTGATAGACTCTGAAACTCGCCTCATTATTAAAATAAATTTTGATTTGCTCATCCTATCTTCGAAATCCCATAAATATATCTCTTTTTGTAGTTATAAATTCAGCAAAAATTGCCATTATTTAATGAAAAGACAGAACGACTCTAAAAGTCATTAACACTGCCCCTGTAGATTATCGTCGCGTCGCTTTTACAGTTTGCTTAATAGGAATCATGTGGTGTGATTATGTTACGCAGGAACGTCGTGTGCGCACACCCAATAGTGGGTAGGACAAGGACTGGCCCTTCAACTGCGCGGTGATCTGCAAGAGATAAGCCTTGCCGGGTTGTAGCCTTTTTAGAGTAAACGGCAGCGCCCGGTCTTTCGATGGGCTTTGCTTCTCCTCGCAAACCTCGAACGTGTATTCGGATCGTCTGCGCCGATGGAGCCCGCACTGATCCGGTACGGTCGTCACGCTTGCCAAAGATGTCGAACTTCGTAGCTCCTTCACCAAGATGCAGTACTTGGCAGCGCCAGCTGATTCCACACCTATCGTCACTTCGTTGCACTTCCTGAGAGATCGGTACTCCCGCGGCGGGCTCTTGGATGGTATCTGCGTAAAAAAAATTATCCAATTTGCTTTTCGAGCAAGGATAAGGCGCTGATTGGTTAAATTTTTTTCATTTGATGAAGAAGCATTTATGAAATAATATGATAAAATCTTGCATAAAATTTGTGATTTGCAATTGGATATATTTATGAAAATAAATATAAAAATGTATTGGTCTCTGATAAAATTGATATTGATAACTATTTGCAAAATTAATTTCGAAATATTATTCCTCGGCATCTTAGCGGCTCTATAATTTTAAAATTAAAGTTGGAAAGAAATTATTTAATAATTGAGAAAAATATTTTGTTATGTTCAAAACGTTTAGGAATATACTTTGTGCACTTTGCTTCATGCGAATCAGTGCAATTATTATGAGATTTTCGTTAATTTTTGATGCAATTATTTTGTGCAATTTGCCTATTGAATATGCCAATCATGATTTTATGAGCTTTATATTTTTATAAATTCTTAAGAGATACAAACAGAATTCATCTCTTTATTTTTAAGAAATGTGTTGCTCCTGTGCTGTGGAGGAAGTATTGGATGGACAGAGCATAATCTTTCGCGGTTGTTATATGAAGAGAGAATATCAGTTTGCACATGTCTAACATACCTGCGGATAAATGGTGGACGACTCTTGCGTGGCCAGCACTTTTATGGTGGACATTTGAACCAGCTCCTGTGGTGTGGTTGATATACGCAGGGTGTACATCTTACCGGAGGGTAGAGGAGGTACGCGCAACGAGGCGTAGCCGACCACCTCTTTTTCCTGTCAATCATACGAGACACATTTAGCTGCATTTATATGTGTATCGCTGTCGCGAAAGCGTTTTGATTAATTACAGGATGGCCCATTGCTTGCGACAGCAAGTCAATTGTTAATAGACACTCTTTCGCAAATTTGCGGTCGGCGCGTCCGATCGCTTTCTGCAAACTCTCATCGTTTTACCCGCAGTATTCCTTGTCCGCTTAATTTCGCCTTTACGATGCCTCCACCGCAGGGAAGTATGTGAAAGGTGCTCGAGGTGTTGTCCGGCGGACGATAGCGGAAATTGACGAAACCATCGGTCTTCCGCAGATTGGCTGTGGTGTAGCGACCGGTTCGCAACGTCAGCTCCGGCGTCTTCTTGAACCTGATAGCGTCGGTGGCGACCCGATTGGAGACGTTGTTCCGAGTGTTCACCTGTCGAGTCAGCGTGTTACGTTTCATCGATAGTCATCTAACGACTAACTGCAAGTGGCTGCACGAAATAATCTTGTAAGCTCGGCACAATTAAATTTGCAATTTCACGAAGGATATAAGTAAATATATCGTGTAAGAATTGCGGAAATTGATCATCTTTACACCCTATTATAAAATCGTGTACGCGTAAAGACTGACACGGCGCAAAAACTAAACGGAAGAGCGGTTATCGCTCTCTTTTGAAATTGAACGTATGATCCGTGCGGTTTTACAAGCGATCGATTCGATTAACGTGTGACGAGAGAGACCGACCACGTATAGGGTAAAGTTGTACGTGGTGTCGTATCTCATCCTGTGGAGCGTCAGCTTCGTCTGCCGTACGCAGTGCAGACCTTCCGGAACGCCCCGATGATGGTGCTCCTTTGAGGAAGAGCCGGTTCTCGCCGGTGAATGTGGATGAGCTTTCAGGATATTCTGCGCGGCGCAGAGCGTCGACGGGTGCGGCTGCGTACCCGAGGTGACAGCTAAACAGTAGTTCGAGAGGTGAGGGTCCACTTGACTGGAAAAACAAATGTGTCTTGAGACATTGCAATTATAACAAAATCGACATAAAGTCATCAATTCGCGGATGTCACGCTTTAAGAAGAAGAGAGAGAGTACGTCGAAAAAAAAAA